AATTTCTTTAAATCTGTTATTAATTATCCCCTTCCCGTTCTTCTCTTACACTTTTCATAAGAAGTATCCAAGATTGTTATCCGATTGTAAATATCAAATTGACGACAAAAAAATTGATAAATTTTTGAAGCATTTTAAAAATCTTTTCTCTTACAGTAACATCCATTATTCAAAAAGTTACGTCTAATTTGCCTTTCCCGATCTTCATTTGCATAACGAACAAAATTCTCTCTCCAACATACTAAGAGTAACGTATAAACTATTAAACAGAATCTTTCGAAATTCTGTAATCAACAATGTCTCTAAATTATTCTTTAAATTCAATCTCATGATTCATTGGTAATAAGTTAACGTTAATTCTTGTTATAAGCATAAAATTACCATAAACAGATCTACTAATTTCTCCATTTGAAGCGTGCCATTTCACTATAGTTCGATCATAAAACATTCGACGACGCTGCGAAACTATGAAGTGATCGCTCAGATCAACCGAAAGCGGTTCGAAACTTAGATTATTCTTTCAAAAGACGCCCATTTCGAACGTTTATCTTCACCGCGGTTGTTTTTCCACTATTAGTGTGCACAGTTCACGAATGTTGAATGGATAGTTCTTCGTGAATAAACAAAGCAACGTGTAAGTTACATGATTTCATCTTCCAGTGTGGGCGAGGTAAAAGTTCTTCCGCTGTTTCGTGAAAGAAAAACGTTCTGTGTCATTCCCGTGAGGTACAATGTGAAATTTCCATACTCCCGAATGAGATGAAAAATGCGAGTGAGAGTTAAGTCGAGTGAAACAAGTCTGAACCTGTTGAATGCGGTGTGCCTTCAGAAATGTGAGAATAAATGGAATTATAATTTCATTTCGAATCATGTTTCCAGCTTCTCGATTATTCAAGTTACAAAATTATCGGTTAAATAAAAATCGTATATTTAAAAGAAACACAATTCTCTAAACGAAGGAACAATTTTATTTATCACGTGGTTCGATTATTCAAGTCACGAAATTATAGGTTAGTCAAAAATCAAACGTTGAAAAGAAACGTAATTCTCTAAATTTCGTAGTAACAGCTGTTAGCGAGTCGTCCAATAGGTATACGAATGCTATATTAATTATATTTTACTATATAATCCGAAAGAATGAAAAAATCAAGCACTTAATCGAGCAATATATTTTACTCTGATACATTTAATAAAACACGACACCGTATTTATCTTGAGATTAATACCGACAGCAATGGACAATAATAGAACAGTGACAAAATAAAGATAATTAGAACGATTCAGAGTGTTCTACAATTTTTTTTTAAATCATAAATGAAAAGTTGTCGTCCTTACGTGTAATGCGAAACTGCTTGCAAAACTGTCGCTCGGTATTTCTGTAGCAGCAAAACTGGTCTGTGACTTGAATTACACCAGACATCGTGTTGTACGATTTCCGAGATCGTAATGCACGATGAACATCGATTTGATGAAACACACTTCCTACATTTATTCCGTACGACACGATTACGAAATTTTATATACGTTTCATTTGCAAATGTCGTTGAATCTTTTTCAAATTTCCAATTGCTTCGATCTGTTAGCACGACACGAAGTCATTTGACATTTGAATATTACATTCATAACCTTCCAAGAATTCAAAGCTTTCCACAATCAAATATGATACAATAAATATATTCACTGTCAAAACTCACTTAACCCACTTTTACTAATCTACAATTCAAATCGCCAACTTAATGCAGCTAGTTTTATTTCTCCGATTTATCATTATTAGCATAAATATGGAACGTCCGTCTTATTATTTATTTAAGAATTATTTAAGTCTTTAGGCCTCTGTACTGTTATTCAAAATAGTAATTTAACTATTAATCACAAACCACTGCGCACAAATCAGAGCTCGATGTATATTACTAATACGCATTAATTTGTAGTCACGTATTTAAGTTGGTAATAGAACTATTCTAATAGAAGTACTACTCTAGTCATTTAAAAAAAAATTCTTAATAATTGATAGAAATTTTATGATAATGAGAATAATCGATTTTTGCGCAAAACGAACAAAAATGCAAAGACAGCTCTTCTTGTTTCAGCATGACATTAACATGAAATTTCATAACCACTTCCGCATTCTTTGATCGTGTACCATGGTGTAGGGTTACGAGAGAAAAATGTGAATTTTACGCTAATTAATGGAAGACAATGAGATCACAGATACGGTCAATTGCACACAAACCGTAATTATATTACAATATAACGTCAGGATGAATAAGATGCCATAAATCTCGGGCGCGTGTTCACACATTATGTATGTAAGTACATATGATTTACGAAGCTTCAAGCATTAAACATGCATACAAAAGAAATATTCAAATAGTTAACATTAAATGAAATCGTAAATCAATTTCTTCATGTGTTGTGATCTTTTTTTATTGGATGACTAAAAGAAATTTTATAATAGCTTTAATATATGTATTTTACAATATAATTAGAAATTAAAATATTTCATACAATATTTAAGGTTAGGTTAATAGTTTATACATTTTTTTCTTCTTTAATTTACATATTAAATTCTTTTTATTCATTTCCCTTTACTTATGTCAAATAAACTTTTTTTTTTATTAAGTCTATGTAATTATACCATTATCATGTTTTCTTTTATTTAAAATTTGCAATTCTAACGTCTGCATTGCGATAGACTTTCGCAACGCGCGCAAATTAAATCTGCGAACAACTAATGACTCGGTTATGGTTGTCGATTCCTCGGAAGCTCTTCGAAATTCGATTCGCCACGATTCAATTTCACTTTCAAACACGAGTTCGAAAGTAATTCTAGCGTGGGACATTGTGTGGGCTCGTTTGCGTGTTGAATGACAGAAAAAGTAGCTTTCAAAGAAATGCAACACCGAACACTGTCGATGAACTATTTATTCACAATTCGCGACAGCAAAAGTTGTTGATAACATGTAAATTATTCGTAATACCTCGTGGTTATTAAATAATAAATTAGATTATGTACACTTACCTTTATTAGCCCGATTATTTCATGGCGTGTTCATCAGCCGAATAATTACTGTAATTTATTGAAGTCATGGTCAGAGATTGTCTTTTGCTTTTACGAATCAGTAAAAGTCAATATTTGTTCTTCGTTCATTTTACTTTTGAAATCATTATCATTAATTAATTTTTAAATTCGATGAATTTGAATCATATAGAAAATGTTGTATCTAAAAAAATTTCAAGTGTTAATATACCCATTTTTTACGTTTTATTTCAAATAAAAATTTGGTATTCTAATTAAGTAAATAAATATTGAGTAATATATTGATATTCTATATACATATAAACTAGTAAGGCATAAATATTACAGGGACTTTATGCCCTGAATGATAAGAAGACTGAATCAAATTAATTTCTAAACATAACTGAATTCCTAGCTATATCATTGAACTTCCGTGAGAATAGTATAAATCGTATCCATTATTGAAATACTAACAAACGGGAAGACGGATTATGCTAAACAACTTATTTATTTAGATGTTTATTCTTTTATTACATATGCTGTGACTTAGAGCATATCATCTAAGTATGTATACAATACTTGAGTATTTGATTACAATGTACATTTAAATATTATATTCAAAATATATTTTCAGTTGGCTTTATTTTACAAATACTTGTTTAGAATATTTAAAAATAAATTTAAGTCTTATGTATAATATGAATAGAAATGTCTGTTATGATATAAAAAAAGAACTTTCTCGCTCTTAGTGTATGCAAAAGTTTTATTATTGAATATTGAAATGACGTTACATTATGTCAATAAGATGAATTTATTTATATAAGCTGTCTTAGATGCAGTTCCACTTGTAATTATGATCATGATGAACAAGTAAACAGCTGCCCTTAAAATATACTTAGTATATAATATTAAACTGAAAGAGTCATGTATCTTCTTCTTCTTCTTCTTCATTATAATGTTTCATTTTTATAGTAAAATGTTAAATAAAATTTATATCAACATCAAACCAACATTGAAAATATCATTGTTCATTGCTATATATGTTAAATAGAAACATACATCACAATGGCTACAAATTAGGAAGCCACCTGGAATGTTTTCTCTTTTTGGTATAAAACAATCAGTATTCTAATAATACTACCACAATACTTTTTGAAATATGTTTTGTGGTTTTGGTTGATGTAAAACTGAATAACATTTGATGTGGATAGCAAATCAGCACGAAGTGCTACTCTACAAACATGTCAACTACAGTCATGTAGCCATTCACGGTGGTTGTGAATTATATCTGTTATTATCATCTGGTAATACTAAATTAGATGCTGGTTCATCTTCAAATATGCCCTCATCTACCTCATCATCAGAAATGGTAAGTTCTTCAGGATATTTATAACTATTACTTAGTTGACTGGATGGTACCACTTGCTCCTAAAAATGAACATACAATATCCAACTGAATATAGTACAAACATATCATATAAACATGAATGAAAGGAATATAAGGCACATTTTTAACTAAAACCAGATTACTCTTAGTACATTTGTTAATTTACCTCAGATTCTGTATTTACATCTTGCAATGAAATATCAGCTTCATAATCAAATAAATCTTCTTCTGGTTCCTCTAATGGATGTACTGGTAATTGTGCAGAGCCTTCATTTAAATTCATGGTTACTTCTGGTTCCCCTATAAATTTAAAAAAGTAAATATAGGTTATTATTCATTAGAAATGCATAACTTGTTTCCTTTCTTGTCATTGCTTACTGAGTGGATCTTCTGTACGGTTATCCAAATTAAGATATTCCGTTAATCTGTTGTTATTGTTACTATTGTCATATCTACAATGGATCAGTTCATGATTATTTTGATTTTGTAATTCATCCATATCTTCTGACTACTTCAGTTGACAATGTGCTCAGACTGGATGGTCTACGAAATATCTATATGCACTAAAACATTAATACAGTTAATGTACAAATTGAAAGGTTCTACTGTGGCATTGAATGATGCGTGAGAAATCATGATCATGTAAGAATCATTTAAACACGAATTAGGAAATTTACTTTGAACTGTTATATCTAGCTGTTGTAAGACAGCAACGAATATTTCGTGATGACAAGGATCTTGTGGATCCTTTTTCTTCTTCAAAATTCGTCATCTCGAGCGTATGACTCCGATTAGATTGATGATATCAGAACTCTTCGTCCTTTGCTCTGTTATTGTTAAAACTCATTAATCTATGCGGGTTTGTTTTTAAATAGAACTGTGAAATCTAAAAATGTGCTACGTCATGACGATCGTCGACACGACGTATTCTCGGAATATGAAGCTCACCTTCAATGAAATGTTGTATCCGTGTTTCGAGCAACGTGGAACGGTACAAACTTCATTTAAAAACTATTGTCACCATTACAAACAAGAATCACAACACAATAACGTTCAGATCAGGCAAGAATGACATCACACGCTAAATAACCGCTCGAATATGCAAGCTTACAGGTTATACGCATGCTCTGTACAGATTTGCGGTCATGAGCCGCTGAATGATGTCATGTACAGTAACGTAGTTAGAAAGACTAGTACTAAAAAAAAAAAATTGTATTCTTTCTTGAAACATATTACGTAAAATTTATAATTATTATGAATAAATTATTCAATAGTGAGAAATATAATTTTCATTAAACTATTGAATCTAACATTAAAGAAAAAGTATGATCGTTAGTTTGGTAGTTTATTAAAGACGTAAAATGTATAGTTAAATTTCTTAGTTTTCTTCTGTACGTCAGATCTGTTGAAAACATCCTAGAATAAACTGCTACATAAAAAGCCTGCAGAAAAAATATTAACATAGTGCAAATTGTTCGTTTATATTCAGTATAATATAAAAATATTGAAGTATCTATTAGTAGTATCAATTTAGGCGCAATATTACAATGAAACGCTACATCCTACTATACTACATTATAAGCTTCTTATCAAAATTATTTTTGTGTGTAAGTACTTGCTTGTTTTAAGATATCTTATAACGTGTACTTATTAATGACTAAAGAGCAATCTGAAGAAATGAAACGACACACGTTCGCAGTGTATAGATTCTAACCAATAATCTTGTCGCTTTATTAATTGTCATGAAAAAAGAAATATATATATGTATATGTGTGTATATAATACAGAAAATACAGAATAGTAAAATATCCATACCTTACAAACAATTTAGGATAGATGCAAAAGTGATGTTCGAAAAAAATGAGGCTGTAAATATAGAACAAGAGTAATAACACATACGCCGAAATCGGAAATTGGATTTTACAGAAGGTTCTTTGTATTTTATTTTCGCTTCTTTAAGCAAACAGTGAAAAGTAACCAAACGAAAATATCAATGTTAATCACGGATTAAAAAAATTCGATGTTTCTGTTGGCCACATCCATATATTACACAGCAATCGTTGTGAAATATTACAAATCTATCTCGGATTATTTAAAAAAATTATTACTTTTCTTTTCTTTTTCATTTTTTTTTTTTTTTTCAACGAGAATGAAAGAAACGATCACAGATCTATTCGTATCTCTCAGTTTCTCGCTGTATGCATTTGTTATTATTATCACGAGAAGAAGAAATTGTAATGACAGAAGTTATTGCGTTTCCCCCGACGGAGACGTGTTAGTTGAAAGAGAATATCACTCGTAATCAGTGGGATCTTCTTCCCTCTATTTGTAGGTGAATCTCTCTCGTTATAAATGTCTACTCTCTACGGTGTCTTATGAGCCACGTATACTCTCTTATTTTTATCATTTTATTTGCTTCCATCGTACCGTGAACAGCCTAAATAAAACACGTTCGTGGGTTTGCTGCTTTATAACGCGATAATACTATTATATATAGACTTAACGAAACGCTTTTTAATCTCTGCAACTCTCGTCCCATTTTCTTTTCTGCAAAGTGAGGTATATACCTGGTCGAATTTACTTGTATAAATTTACAAAAATATGAAATTTCATGGGGAGAAAAAGGTTCATGTGTTGTTGGGAACACCTGAAAAATGTTCTTTCGGGTTACAAGAACTCGTCAAACATGTTTCGAGATGTTTTTCTTCTTTTTGGGGCAACCTCTTTGACCGGGTACGATGGGACATTCGATCCGGTGCGCTGCAAGTGGAATTAACAAGCGCAATCACAAGCGCAACGGCGTACACGTTTCTCGCGGCGATGGGTGAATGCCTCTGGGATGGAGCGCACCGAACGTGGTTGCACATCTGCAAACAAATTATGCAATAATTTTAATTCGATACACTTGATTTAATTAATCATTCATAACCTATATTTTCCCGTTTTTTTTTTCTCATCAGCATATGGAATTAGTGTCAAAGTTATTTGGAATTAGTAAATTCCACAAATCATACAATATAAATTTAATAACATTAAATAATACTTTTAAATTTAGCAGTAAATTTTTTGGACAAATAAAAAAATTCAATTTTGGTAAAATAGATATAAATATAGGAATTAAAGAAATTATCTACTCACAATGTGGACGACTTTCTTCTTCTTGCTCGTGCAGTGGTTGCGCTTGCTGTTGTTGCTGTTGTTGTAACAACAAATGAGTGGTTTGTTGTTCCTGCTGTCGTTGTTCTGATTCTTGTTCAGAGCTTTGGCTATCGGAAACTTCAGCACGAGCCTCCACTGGTATTTCCAAGGATTCTACAGGTCTCAAGGGCAGAGGGAATCTTGGCACTGAGAAAGTATTGCCCTCTACTACCTGATAATTTGAAGAAGAAAAAAACATTACGTGAAGTAAAATTAAACATTACATAATAGTAGAGAAGAATAGATTTGATTGAATAGATGAAATAAGAAAGAAATGAGAAAAAAAATATGGCAGCGGTGGGATTCGAACCCACGCCTCCGAAGAGACTGGTGCCTTAAACCAGCGCCTTAGACCGCTCGGCCACGCTACCTGTTACCACCATAGGGAGAAATTGCTGATGCAGCGGTTCTCAAATTATTTTTACCTGATATTTCTTATCGCAAACGTATAAAATAGGACTTTTTATACCAAGGCTTTGTAATATAAAATTTTGCTTAAAAGCAGAGTACAATTGTAAAATGTATTCACAGGATCTTATTTAAATATTATTATTAATATATTGATTACCTTTAATTTTTTGCAGATTTATTCGCGAAGAGTAGTGTATTTACGCAATGTTTTATAGTACTTCAATCTACCTTATCTTTCGAGGTAATTGCAGTTAAAAAATCTTTTTTTTCATTATGCTAATAGTTGTGTGAAACCAATTAACTAATTTTTACCTGGTGAATTATGTTACGAATTTCTGCCGGTACAGGAAAGTTTCTTTCCTCCTCGCTGTCCTCTTCCGGTCCCGGGAAAGGTTTAGCTTCCTGTTGTTCGCTGGAACTATCCGGTCGCTGACGACCCTCGATATTTCCATGCTCCAATAGATTTCGTACCTCTACCGGAAGTGGAAGTCCAAGAGGAATGGGTTGTGCTCCTTCCGGGAACGGTTTGAATTCTTGAACGTTCTGAAAACACGTAAAACTGTTTCAGTCAAATTCCACCAATCAATGCTAACAAAAATAATAATGAAATATAAATTAACACATTAACATTCTTACATCATTGATATTAATAAAATTGCAATATCTAACATAGAGAAATGTACGTTCAATTTTAATTCAATTTTTTCGATTATAATTTAAATTGTTTTTAAAAATAGTTCAACAAATTTATGATTACCTCACGGCGAGCTCCTTCAGGTACTTGTATGGGCATTGGTCTAGCCTCACCTGTGATATGCTGAATGATATTCTTGATCTCTAAAGGCACCTGTTGGATGATCCTTCGAATTTCGAACGGAATTCCTTGGAAGGGCGAACGTTGTGTCTCAGTAACTTGAGGCTGTGGCTGCGGCTGTGGCTGAGGTTGAGGTTGAGGTTGAGGTTGCATTTGAGGCTGCACTTGAGGTTGCATCTGAGGTGGTCGTTGTTCAGTTTGTGGGATCAACACGTGGGGAATAATCCTTTGCTCGTGAACTTGAGCTTCTGATTGTGGTGCTGGAGGAGGCATCATCGCTGGACCTTGCTCTTGGCCGTACGTTCCAGATGTTTGGTCGACTTGTTGATACATCACGGGCACTTGTTGCGGTTCCTGGGGCATCGGTGGTCGCATACCTCTCATAGGATTCATTGGGAAGTGACGCAATTCGATGGGAATTCGACGCATCTCAATCTGAACAAAATTGAAATTAAAATTATTCCAAGGGTGAATTAATTCTCTGCATGTCGTAGATACTGTTCGTTAACTATCAAATACGATTATTTTGAAAGAAAAACCTGGTATATACAAAAAGAGTGATGGGAATCGACACATCTAAATCTGAACAAAATTAAAATAGACAAAATCAGAAATAAATGAAAATTAAAATTATCCCAAGATACAGTACTTTAAGTGTCAAAAATGAAATATACTCACTTGTGGTCCCATCGCGGGGGCTTGCGGTCCCATCGCGGGCGTCTGTGGCACCATTTGCGGTGGTCTCATCTCCATAGTTACCTGAGGAAGGTTTCGTAATTCAGGAGGAAGCATACCAGGTGGGATGTGATTCAGTCCGCGTGGATCGCTAAGTGGCAACTGCTGCATGTCAGGAACTTGATATTGAGTGTGCACTTGGTACTGATGGTAGGCTGGGTTTGGCTCCTGAGATTGAAGAGGTACTTGAACGGTTCCCAAAGGAATGATGATCGGTGTGAGCATTTCTTGTTCTTGTTGTCTAATGATCGATCAAATTTGAAAAATCATCAACTTTTTAATATTGTAGATCATAGCAACGTTTCAATAACATTAAATCTTTTCCTATCTACTTGTTCTTCAATTTTTAAATGAAAATTTTTTAATTGCAAATTTTAATCAGTTAAATAATAGAACTTTTCCTACAGATAGATCTGTTACTCGAAAGAATGAAGATATTTAAGCACTTCCATTCAATTGTTTCAGAGTTTATAATATTCTATTGAAAAGTGAATCTAATACTAATTTTAAAACGTAAAATATCAATTTTGAAACATAAAATATTAATTTTTTCTAAACATTGTTACGGTAAAATGTTTTCAAATCACACTTACTCTTGCTGAGGATTGCCAGATTCGCACAGAATAGCAACGCGTTCTCCGCTCAACCTTTGATAACGGGAATCGGTATTATTGCTATCAAGATTATTGTTATTAGCACCGTCCATCACTTGATCCGCCCTTCGTCTCTCAACCACGCAAGAAACTCTGCTGCGTGCCTCTTGAATCAAAGTCTGAAAGACGAGAAACAAAAAATCTTGGAGTAAACATTATTTACAATTTTTCAACTAAATTGTAAAATTACGATAACAAACTTACGCCTGCAATTTCGTCGAAATCAAATTGCAGAGGCAGCTTGATGTGCACAGGTGGGAACTCGTCGTCATCGTAGTCATCGTCGTCGTCTTCATGGTCACCGCTATCGTTATCTGACTTTGAATTGTTCTCATCCTCCTTGCGGACTTTGATGTCCTTGGTGTCTGGCTCTGCCTCCTTCTTCGAAGGTGTTTGCTCAGCCAGAGACTGCTGCACTTCCTTCGTCTCGCTTGTGTCCTGCACAACGAGAACAACGATCTTTACCATTTTCTCCTTCGTCGTCTTTTAAAATAATAATATTCGTATCTTTGGTATCAATAAACGTTAATCTCGTCACATAAACTGAAGCAAATCTTCAATCCCAATGAATTAGCTTCTCTATTTAGCTACGGTGGTACCAGACGCAATTTTTATGCACAATCTAAGTGGTTTCAAAGGGTGAACAGGACGAATGCGTTTAACTCGTAGGCGTTCTTTGGCTACCTTTAAAATTTTACGATAGCATAAACCTACCGAATTAATACTTCGCAGCATCGTAAAGATCTTAAGTATCTAACATTTTCACCAGCATCTATCCCCTTGCAAGCAGCGCAGTACAGTACGTCCTATTTACTCTTCGCGCAAGAAACCGTACATTAAAATTTAAGCCGCCATTAAAGTCGCCGTTGAGAATAGCCTAGACCTCGTTCACATAGCATTAATATCCTCTTAAACGAAATATCTCTGTCGGGTCAAGCGTGTCGTGTGATCAGAAACCCGTCTCGAGTGACGTTTTAAATATTAGCCTGGTCAGATTAGATAAGAAAGAAGAAACACTCGCCAGGATAGCTACCGCAAAGTTAAACTGTGTCCAATAGTAGAATTCTTCGTTGTTCAAAGTAACTAATCGAATACTTGGATAAATTAGAAATCGTCCTTATCTTTATCAACACAGGAACGAGATTAGCGCGAAAGTTATCCTCCGAGGTTCCAGGTTTCACATAATATCGGCAAAACGCGTTCTGCTGTGAGGATGTGGGTGTCAGGATTTCGATTAGTTAGGCAACGATAGAATATAAAAGGCCGAAGGACAAGTGAGCCACGTGCGCAACCTACGCGATTAGGAAGAAGAGTTCGAGTTTTATGAGAGCCCTGGGGCAATAATCAGAGCCGAGTTGTTTGGGAACGTCGCACAGAGTTTCGAGTATATGGGCGTTCGGGATTTTCGACCTAAGTTCTCTGTTAACTTTTTTGTAGATTTTACACTTTGAATTTCTCATTTTTGCCCATTGGTGAAACACTGTGCGTCGATAGAGACTCCCAAAAACCCGACCGAGGAGGACATTTGTAGTCTGGACGTACGATAGAGCAGACGTGAAGCGAGTTTCAACCTTGGTATCAATAATTCCAATTGCCAACCCATTCGTATATCGAATAAAATAGAATTATAAGCTAAAACTCTCGATATTCTTCTTACACCGGTGTTTCTTAAGAGTTTGGCTTTTTGGGAAGGTGGTAATTTATGATGGAGCTAATCTACACGTTTTTCAATGAATTACGTACACGGTTTAAAGGGACCGAGGGTTGAAGTGGAGGTGACGATGTCCAGATACCTTAAAAGGGAAAGTTTAAGGAGCATCTAACATTGAATACAGGCGTCTGTTAGTTAAGAGTCTCATCGCCTAGCACCGTTCGATTTCCATCGTTCTGGCCGAGGTTATAGTGCGATAACACTAAGAGAGTTCGCTTTCACTCACGACCCGATGTCGCGACCAGGAAGAAGACATGTTGCATCAACGGATGATTGTCGTGGTGATATTTATTCAGCTTTCAAAAGCCTTAAGGAACACTCGAACGTAGTACTCGTCTTCGTTTCATAGTGACTACTATGGATCCTCTTTCAATTTCTCTTCACCAGGAAGATGAGGCTAACCCGGGTGTTGGTATACGAAATACTTGGATATTCTTCAAGGATAATGTATGAACTCGTATGAAAAGCTTTCGATTGAATCAATTGTTCTCTTAACCCTTCCCCTTAGGATTTCTTCATGGTTAAATGCAACTTTGGTATCGTGTCGAATAAAAAGAGGTCCAAGTATTGTGTGGAATTTTTATTTAGCGATCGTCAGACTGAACTTGAAGATAGGGCTGAAAGTTAGGGTTGAAATACGAATTTATCGGACATACGATTTTTCTCTGTCGCATTTTGACCATAATCTGCAGAAGACATGGGATTGGAAGAATTTAATTTTCTCGCAGCTTCGATTATTGGCCGTGTTTTAATTACGTTTAATCGCTGACGGTAATAACGATGGCCGTGTCGAGGCAATACGCTGCCGCGTTACGCTCCAATTAGCACAAGCTGCAAATGAAACTGACCGCGGTTTCACAGATTCTTAATAAATTTTTATTGTGTGTCCCGTTAGCAATATCTGTTACGACGTGTCTAAGAAACACTCGTCAGATTCTAAGCGAGATTCTTGGGTTATTATCGCACAATTTGTACGACTGGTAATTTTAAAGATTAGCTGAGATTATCTGAGGTTTGAAAAAATCGAATTTTTTTTTCTATGCTTAAATTGATAGTTTATACGTTTAAAAATATAATCTAGATAGTTTTAATGAAGAATTTCGATGGGTTGATACCGTTGGAGCCGATTTAACGAAGCTGAAGAAACTTTGAACGTGTTTTTCTCAAAACGAGACTTTTAAAGACGGTGTTATCCGTAACTCCTAGGATTTTCGTCCGATTCACTTGAAATTTTCACGAAATACTCTCTGTTACACAATCTAAAGAACTGCGAAGGATTTTTGCGATATACCGAAAACTTCTTCTGCGATTAATATTTTTATGCTAAAATTTTAAGGAAAAATGCTCATCATTTTGTACAAAACTCAATATTTTTCAAAAATCCTCTGTACTTCTTTAGTCATATAGATGACGAAATTTGTTGATATTTTCTTCCAAGTGAAACCGTGTGGCAGCAGGTGCCAACATCCTAAGATGTGTTCGTACAAAACAGAGGTTCAGCGATGCGGCTGTAGCGCCGCCATTTTGTCAAGAAATTAAACGCAAAAAATACTTTTACATTCCTCAAGGGTAGTATAACAAACTCCTCCTAAAAATTTTTCGATCGAGTCAATTATTTTCTCAAAAAAAAAAAAAAAAAAAAAAAAAAAAAAAAAAAAAAAAAAAAAAAAAAAAAAAAAAAAAATACCAAAGTTAGGTACCATTCTCAGGCCTCGGGCTTACAGTTCAACCCTTTAACCCTTTCGCGACTAGCGCCGGTTATATCCGGCATCCACTAAGCGCAGATTTATTTTAAAATACAAGACCAAGACCTCAGCAACATTCCCTTTATCCGATACACCCTTAAGACCTCTGCTGTTCCAACGAAATTCTCTAAGATTTGAAAAAACGCGAGACACTCTTAACGTGTCGTTAGTGGCGTACTGATGGCTAGTTCCGCCGTCGCGAAAGGGTTAAATTCGCTAAATTGCTAAATGAAATTCTCGAGCGTACACGCACTTGCTTCGTTTCACGCGAAATTAATGGGCGGTTCGATCATTAAACGGTTGGATTATCGTTGCGTTATAGGGTAAACCAGGAAACGACGCGAAATACGTATTTGGCGGACGGTGATAGGAAGGAAGTTGCCGCTCAGTACTTTCGAGAACCTAATTTGTG